TAAGGAGGACTTTGGGAAAAGCTCCTTTATAGATTCAGGAGAGACGGCTACCATGTACCTTTTGTCAGATGCCCCTTCTATTCTGTCCGAGAATAAGGAAGCAATGGCTGGAGTTTCAGCAGCTATCCTGGCTCACGAGATGACTGCTGATGGCAAACATGTGTTAAAGAAAAGCGGGTTAGTAAAACAGAAGCAGCTTGAGTCTTTCTGATCATGGTGCTACCACACAGACTACAGAATCAATTTCTTTTACTATGAGATATGTAAATATCCATCCCATATTATTTTATCATTATTATTTGGATTTTCTGTTACATACAGCCAGACCTAATTTCTAATGGGTATATCTTTCCAAACAAAATTTGTTTATGATCTCAATTTTAAGTTCATCCTAAACTTTAGAATTAGAAAAGTTTGAAGCTAAAAAGAGAAAAAGTTGGGAGTAACTAAAACGAGGCCATCATAAAATTAGGACAGGGAAAGGAATCTGGAACCTGGCTCCTCAGATATGGCTTGTTAGCTTAATAGATGTGGCTAACCTAGCTTTATCTTTTTAAAAAAATATTCTATAAAGTTATCACCGATTAAACCTACAATTTCACTTCCACCCCTCCTAACTCCTGTCCAAATAAAGAGGTTTTACTGTTAGAGCCATTTTAAGTGTTCAAATTTAAAGTGACATTAAAAGGCAGTTAAAAAATTAATTCTTCATCTGTACTTCTAAGTATAAAGACAGCTAAGCTAAATTCAAAAGTCAAATCAGGCTTTATATTTAAAAGTGCTCTTTTAGCTAATAGCAAGGCATGATGTTTGTCATTGTGAGAAGCAAGAGAAAGAGGTAAATGCCAAATGGAGTTAGCAACATACAGCCTCCGTATCACAAGTCAAGTGGTGGGCCTTTACTCAAGTGGAAAGATGCTGACGTGTTAGAAACAAGACAAAGGGAAGAGCTGCTGACAGGCTCTGAGTAGTTAATAATTAGTCCTGACTTCCAAGCTAAATCAGGGATTTAATATGAGATTCAAACTGCTCCTTGACTACTGGCCATGGGAGCAACGTTTTGGTCAAAGACTCAGAGAATCAAGGAAAAAGGAGATTAAAAGTGAGCACGGGGTTCACCAGTGCCTTAACTAAGAGAAAACATCTATAGACTTCTTGCTGGAAAGATTATTAAGGATCTGAATTTGGGTCTGTTTCTAAAAAAGTTCCCAGAAGGTTCCACCAATTAGGGGAGAATGAAGTCTGAGATAGATTTTACAGTCTAGGGTGGACTAGTAATTATATGAAATGCTTAATCAACTAGCAAGATCAACGCACACTGAAAACTTTGGCATTAGAGGAATTGATCTTTGTCTTATAAAAAGCTCGTCACTGAATAAAAAGGAAGTCAATTATTAGAGGAGGAAGGTAAAAATACTAAGGGTTTCCCTGGAGACTCGGACAGTAAAAAAGCTGCCTGCAATGCAGGAGACCTGGGTTCGATCCTTGGTCAGGATGAGCACCTGGAGAAGGGAATGGCTACCCACCTACTCCAGTATTCTTGCCTGGAGAATCCCAAAGACAGAGGAGCCTGGTGGTTAGTCCATGGGGTTGTACAGAGTCAGACACGACTGAATGACTAACACATTCATACACAAAAATACTAATTATTCACACAGTATTTTGGCACAAAATGAAAACTGATACTATGAAGTAACAGACTGCAGCCCTGGATCTCCCCCACCCCCCCACTTTAGTTTCATTTCTGACTGTGCTATTTACAGCTGAGTTTCATGACTGGCTCCTGACATCCCTGGGCTACCTTCTTCCCAGCCTTAATAGCCTAGGGAACGGTAGTCAGTAAAGAACTTTAGAAAAGTTTGAGAACCATGAACTATGATGCACGTTAGTGTATTTGATTATACATGCATAAAATGTTTATAGTGTCTTGGTGCCAAGGACAGGTCATAAGTATTAAGAAGTTTATGCATCTTTCTCTTACTCCTAGAAGTAGACAAGTAATTCCAATGGTGAATTATGTGTCCCTCCCCACCCCTTGCCCAAATCAATTTCCTTAAAGTGTATTTTTTAGGTTCTTGAAGTATATCACCTCTGGTTTGAAAGTATATAAAAATGGAGGTACTCATTTCTTTGTAAGTACTGCAAAGATACAGAAAAAAGGCAACTTAGAGCCATGCTCAGAATATAAAATCTTTCCTACAAGATTTTTTTCTTTCTTCTTTCATTTTCATTTTATAAACATATGTATGCCCACAGTTTAAAAAATATGATAAGCTTAATTTTGATTTTATGCAAGCAACATGAGATTAGGCTAGTTTTGATCTGACATAAGCTACAATCCAGAAGGTGTAAGATATTAATATTTTTGTTTACTATGAATCTGTGGACTAAAAAAATTCTAAGAAAATTTTTAACTAGCCTCTTAGGTGAAAGAAGAATAGTAGGCTTTAGAGCAAACTTGGCAGTTAGAAAGCTAAGAAACCAAATGAGGGCAACACTACCACACTACAGAAAGGTTATACCAAAAGTAGGAAAGTTAAATGCCCTACTTTTTAAAGTCCCACTTACTTATCTAACATTTATTGATTGGTACTGTGCTTAGAATTTGGTAGGGGACAAAAATGTTCAAAAACATTTTAAAAAGTTTACTGACATAAACAAAGAATATAATTTGTTTTAACCTTTTTTTCATTGACTTAAAAAAAAACCTGTATACTGATATAAAAATTGAAATTTTATGGCATTCAGGGTTCTCATTTCCCTTCTTTTCCCTTAAGATTTCTAAGATTAAAAAAATAATCTCATATTAAAATGACTATAATGCAGAAGCTCATCATTGTGTTAAATATGAAATGTATTATATTTGTGAGACTCAGGAATTGACTTCAGATAAGTTGAGAAGAAAATTTAATTCTAAAGTAATTTTCCCTAGGAAAGTTTAACTGGCATTTAAAAATGTCAATTATATTTAATTTTATATTTAATAATATTTAATATTTAATTTATATTTAAAAATATAAAACCTTGAGTGTATGTAGAACATAAAAAGAAACAGTTCTCATTCAAATTGAGAATTATTTTTGCCTTTTAAGTTAAAGATAAGTATATTTCTAACAATGTAGGGCTCATGACAAGCTTATACACTGAGATAGATTTATCAGAGATGAAATATTATAAGGATGGTACCTGAGAAATATCTTATATTGTCTATACAGTGATGAAGAATCAGTTAAAAGGCATTAAAAAAAAAAAACTAGAAAAGCTAATATGAAAGTTTAGGTTTCTTCAGAAAAATCTGATCACAGCATGAACATCCCTAATGGTAATGTAGCAGGAAACACTGGCTAGGAAAAGTTGGCTGGTCGAATATCAAGGACAGCAATTACGATTTAGGAAAATAGGTTTCTAATATTACCCCATCAACTAAAATAACCATTGACAGTAGATCAATTGAATTAAAAGGACATATACTAGAACTAGATGCCAGGCTTCCATAGTCGAGCAATGTCATTCATTGCTGAGCAACTTCAAAGTGCAGTTTCTAGGTCTTGAAAGTTAGGTTCCATCAACTTTAAAATGGATAATAGTAGCCATCACAGAGCTATTTTGAGTTGAATAACATAATCCATATAAGGTGCTTAGTGCAGGGCCTCGGCACGCAACAAGAGCCTGCCATCACCACTACAGCCACCCTGAACCTGAACGTCAGTTTTCCTCAACATAAACACAACTTTGGGCTGGGTCATTTCCAATGTCTCTGTCCAATTAGAACCAAAATTTACAATGAAAAAGAATATACAGGGCCAATACTGTTTTATGCAATCCACAGGAAATCCATGTTCTTCCATACATTATCATGTTTAGCAATTACACTTCTGAGAGTACAATGGCAAAACTGTCACAACCAATATCTTAAATGGAAAATGAATGTCATATAATTAACTCTACATGTTTTTAATAGTCTATTCATAGTTATAATTTTGACTTTTACTACAGAGTGTCTAAATATATTAATTTGGTGCCTACAATAATTTCTGAAAAACAAGGCTTAAGAGGAATCTCAAAGTAGATAACACTTTTTTTATCAAATGGAAAGAACATTTGTTATCTCCTACTTAATAAACAGAGCCAATAAAGAAATTAATCTAAAAATTAATCTAAAGGTCTAACAAAATCTCTCTAGTGGTATGTTACAATTCAAAATTCAAATGGCAGGCAAACTTATCATCAGAATATTAAGATCCTTTTTTGTGTGACATAAATATTTAAAAAAATCAGAATTTATCAAGGTAACATCAAGATTAAGGAAACATATCCCACATGTTTCTTGGGGATAAACTACTGATACCCACAGACACATTAGCTGTGCATCAACCTAAATACTTTAATAATACAGATTAAAAAAAAGTATTTGGAGAACTCATTTGTGTACTGTTAGAGATACTACTGAGAAATTTTAAAAGCCTTTTTAGTTTAAAAATTATTAAAGGTGTGTGTGATCACTGACAAGTTACCTAAAAAGTTTAAAATGTGTTTCAGATAATAAGAGCACTGGAGAAAAAATTATAGCTCACCTCAATTATGTACTAGCATGGTATGGCCAAAACAACAAAATTACATTTGCTTATCAATGTAAATGTTTGGTTATGTTAGTTCTTAAATATTAAAACAAAACACACAGATCTGTTAAAATCTGACAACCCAATAAGCTCTCAAAACAGAAAAGTTTAGCAGTCAATACTCATTTTTCATTTTTATATTAGTAAAACTGAGTTAATACTGTGGGAGTCAAAAAAAAAACCAAACCAAACCAGTTTCTCTTAAATTCATAGCTGTGCTACCTTCAGTTTCATTTCCAGAAACCCTTATCTTTAACAGATTTCCACTTGACACAATTTACAATCATTCAAGAAACTTTAGTTTTACCTTATAACCAGAGTTCAGCATGAAGTAGTTCTGTAAATTTCACGGCATAAAATGAATCTATCCTGTGTCCTTACCGTCAATATTTAGCTCAAAACAAACGTGGCAGAAGGAGAGTGTTTCTTTGTCTGTTCCCAGTTTACAAACACTGCAGATGTTGTCATCATTCAAATCAATGCTTACAAACTGCTCCTCTTCGTTCATAGTGCCCCTATTAAGAAACAGAAAAAGAAAGTTACACAATTTCAAGAACTTGTCATCACGGCAATAGTAGGAACTTCTAGGAAAGAGAAGGATGCTTTTCAGTTTATCTAAGGCAACAGCCTCTCGAAACAAGCATCGCCACACTAATACTTTTACTGTGCAAGGACACAAAGCTAGTAAAACTTAAAAGTCCAGCCGCAAGTCACACTATGCCCAAGTGCCTTTTTTGGCCCTGTGTTGTATTTAGTTGAGGGGAGCTGATGAAGAGCAGTTTTCGGGTATTCTAGACCGCTTCCATCCCCGACCAGGCGCAGAAAGAGCTTAGCAGCGCGGCCTGTTCCGCTACCGGGGTCTGTCAACCTACTTATCGCTGTTGAAGGGAGGACGAGCGAGGCGCTCGGGACACCGCTCTCCTTACTTCATTGTGGGAACCTTAGATGCGTCTCGCTAGCTCGGCGTAGCGAGGTGTGCTATTCCAGGTCGGCGGCGGGCAAAATGCACGTGGAAAAAGTGAACGCTAGGGAGGGGGTCCGGCCGCGTCCCTGGCATCCGCACGGGAGGTCGGGCAGCGGCTCAGCGGAGCGGCTCGAGCACTGCCGGAGAAGCCGGGATGGCTAAGCCCGGCCGGGAGGGAGGCGGGGTCCCAGAGAGCTCGGCCGGCGGGAGCGTCGCGTCCCCTCGCCCCGGGGCTTCCTCCCACCCCGGCAGAAGGCGTTCGAGAGCCCCAGCAGCCGGTCCGTCCGGACTCAGCGTTTCGGGGAGCCTGGTTCCCGCCCGGCCTCCGGCGTTTGGGGGCGTGCGCCCGCCCCTCAGGTGCCGCGTCCTTCTCCCCGACTGTCCGTCGGGGCGTCCCGCGCGCAACAGAGACGGGGGCCGCGGGGCTGAGGGGTAAGGCAGCGGGATCGCGGGGTCGGGGACCAGGGTGCGGGCGAGGGGAGCGGGAGCTTTACCGTCCGGGTTCGCGCGCCGCCACAGCCGCCGCCGATGCGCGCGGCTCGGGCTCCTCACTATTGTTTCCGGCCGCAGCCGAGCAGCCAGCCCGCGCGGCCCCGCCCCCTCCCGGGAGCCCCGCCCCCTCCCGCCAGTGCCATCCTTCCGAAGCTCTGAGGGGAGAACGGCGGGGCGGCGCGGAGGGCGAGGCCGCGCGCTCGATCGCCGGCCGCCAACCCCAGCAGACCCCCGGCTGCACCGACGCCGCGGCCTCGGCTCGGATTTCCTCCTGATCCCGCGTCTCTTGGCCCGGGTCTCTCACCGTCTGGTGGAAGGTGGCTCCTCACACGCCCCTCCCCGAGGCAAGTAGATAGAGGAGTCCGTTATCACCTCCCCCTTTAGCGTAGGGGAAACTACTGCCTCCGGGCGGGGGCCGCGTGGGCCGCAAAGTGACGAGGCCGGGGGACACGGCCAGAGATACGCGGGGAGGACTTTGGGTGAACTCGCTAGACCGAGGCAAAATAGTATCGCTGAACTTTAAGTTAGGTGCTGGTTGACGAGTTTAATGGGAGAAAAGTTTGTGTTTCAAGTTTTCGTCATTTAGGGGTAATTTCAAATGCAGAAGCTTTATTTTTTAAGATTGTTGTAGAAATGGGGCGCCCCTCCCCTGTAATATGGCGCATTCCTAACACGCCCACGAGGATAATCCCGGAGCCCCACCTCTTATTTTAGGTTCCGCCCCTTTAAAAAACGGAGGTACTCAAGATCCCTTATGCCCACTTTGCTTGCTGTTATGATTCATATAACACTTTGACTTACGTTTTCTATTGTAAGACTCAAAACAGCTTAGAAAAGAGAAACCAGAAGAGTTCTTATTTTGCCTCCTAAAAATGACTAACCCAGATTATCTATTGGTTAGAATCAGAGGTGGGGACTTGGTCACAGGAGTTAGCTGTTATTTTCCAGAACATCATAAACACCTCTATTGTTTACAAAGACGGGACTAGGTTGTCAGTCTACAGGTGACTGGTGGTAGGAATGGATTCCGTAGAACTTGGGAACTTCTAGACCAAACTAGCACTTAATGTAAACGATCAGTGCCCCAGAAAAGTGATCAGTGTTTTTGCTACTTGAAGTATAGAAGGTGAGACAGCAATATTGGCCTGGTATCTTGTTAGAGGGAGGAGAAGGGGACTACAGATGAGATGGTTGGATGACATCACCGACTGGATGGACATGAGTTTGAGCAAGCTCGGAGAGTTGGTGCTGGACAGGGAAGCCCGGCATGCTGCAGTCCATGGAGTCTCAGAGTCAGACATGACTGAGCAACTGAACTGACTGATCTTGTTAGAAGCGTAGAATATAAAGTCTCACCCAAGACATCCTGAATCTGAACCTGCTTTTCACAAAACCCAGAGGTGATTACTGTACACCTCTGAGACTTTGAGAAGAACTAATAGAGACAGAAGGGCCTCCCAGGTGGTTCAGTGGTAAAGAATCTGCCTGCCTATGCAGCAGCCGCGGGCTGGATCCCTGGGTTGGATCTCTGGCAACCTACTCTGGTGTTCTTGCCTGGGAAATCCCATGGACAGAGGAGCCCAGTGGGCTGAGGTCCATGGGTTCTCAAGTGAGTGACCCATAACTTAGCTGACTGAACAACAGATTGAAATAGAAAAGTCTTTGTTGTGTTACCTATTTGAATTTCACATTTTATGGAAATATGACTGAAATGTCTTACATCTTGGGTTCTACTCATTTTTTTCAATCAAGTGTTTTCTACAATCAGTAATGATTTTCTTGTATCAAAGTTATTTTCATTCCTCAGTGTTCTCTATCTTTCTGTAGCATTTTGCCTATCTACCTCTCCTTAAAACTTTTACCTTGTTTTTTATTTTTAAATTATTTTAAAAAGTCTACACTTCGGGGTTTAACTTACAGAAATAGAACCTTCCCATTTTAAAAGTAGAGTCCCTGAGTTTTGCCAAATGTATACAATAGCATGTCCACCACCCCAATCAAGATATAGAACATTTCCACAACTTTGAAATTCTCTATGCCCCTTCTCAAACCACCTCCCCCATCTGATCTAATTTATATCTCTAAAGATATGGTTTGCCTACTCTAGAACTTTACATATGTGAAAATAAATGGTGTGTATTCTTTTGTGATTGCCTTATTCAGCATGGTGCTGTTTTGTAATAAGAGTTCCTTTTTGTTGCTGAATAATGTTCCACAATTTGTTCATCCATTCAGCCCTGTGCTCTGTGATGACCTAGTGGGGGTGGGATGCAGGGTGGGATGGGGATGGGAGGGAGGCTCAAGCAGGAGAGGAATAAATGTATATTTATGGCTGATTCACATTGTTGTATGGCAGAAATTAAAGACATTAAAAAAAAAAAAAGACTGGACCCCAGCAGACAGCCATCTAGGAAATGGGACTTCAGTCCTAAAACTTCAGGGAACTGAATTCAGCCAAAAAACTGGATGGATTTGGATGTTCAATTCAATACCTGTCTGATGTCTTGATTTTAGCCTTGTGAGGTTCTAAATGGAGGGTTAGAATTCCCTTGTACATGGACTTCTTACCTATCGAATTTGAAGATTGTAAATTGTATTATTTTAAACCATTAAATTTGTGTCAATTTATGACAGCATTATAAAATGAATACATTTGAATATCCAGGTTTTAAAAGAGTATTGGGCTTTGTTTTGGAAGGCTGTTACTCTAGTAGCTTATTAAACTTTGTGAGTGTCTAGACTATCCTTTTTTTATAAGAATTTCTAGTTCTCTTCTTAAGGAGTGGCTTAAGCCTTCTATTGTATGTCACAGGTCTTCCAATAAAGTTTCTATTCTCTAGTTGTATAAAATTCAATTGATTACTTTCCTATGAGTTCCAGTAGTTGTAAAGATTGTCAGTTCAGTTTGGTTCAGTTCAGTCGCTCAGTCGTGTCCGACTTTTTGTGACCCCTGTAGACTGCAGCATGCCAGGTCTCCATATCCATTACCTACTCCCGGAATTTACTCAAACTCATGTTCATTGGGTCGGTGATGCCATCCAACCATCTCATCCTTCTACTCCCCTTCTCCTCCTGCCTTCAATCTTTCCCAGCATCAGGGTCTTTTCAAATGAGTCAGCTCTTCACATCAGGTGGCCAAAGTATTGGAGTTTCAACTTCAGCATCAGTCCTTCCAATGAACACTCAGGACTGATCTCCTTTGGGATGGACTGGTTGGGTCTCCTTGCAGTCCAAGGGACTCTTAAGAGTCTTCTCCAAAACATTTCAAAAGCATTAATTCTCGGCACTCAGCTTTCTTTATAGTCAACTCTCACATCCATACATGACTACTGGAAAAATCATAGCCTTGACTAGATGGACCTTTGTTGACAAAGTCATGTCTCTGCTTTTTAATATGTTGTCTAGGTTGGTCATAACTTTTCTTCTAATGAGTAAGTGTCTTTTAATATCATGGCCGTAGTCACCATCTGCAGTGATTTTGGAGCCCCCAAAATTAAGTCTGTCACTGTTTCCACTGTTTCCCCATCTATTTGCCATGAAGTGATGGGACCAGATGCCATGATCCTATTTTTCTGAATGTTGAGTTTTAAGCCAACTTTTCCACTCTCCTCTTTCACCTTCATCAGGAGGCTCTTTAGTTCTTCTTTGCTTTCTGCCATAAGAGTGGTGTCATCTGCATATCTGAGATTATTGATATTTCTCCCAGCCATCTTGATTCTAGCTTGTGATTCATCCATCCCAGCATTTCTCATGATCGACTCTGCACATAAGTTAAATAAGCAGGGTGACAATATACAGCCTTGACGAACTCCTTTTCCTATTTGGAACCAGTCTGTTGTTCCATGTCCAATTCTAATTGTTGCTTCCTGACCTGCATATAGATTTCTCAAGAGGCAGGTCAGGTGGTCTGGTATTCCTATCTCTTTAAGAATTTTCCATAGTTTGTGGTGATCCACCAGTAGTCATGTATAGATGTGAGAGTTGGACTATAGAGAAAGTTGAGTGCTGAAGAATTAATCCTTTTGAACTGTGGTGTTGGAGAAGACTCTTGA